GATTAGACTCTGTGAAGTAAATTAATGTCTACAGTCTGCACCTGTAGGGAATTTTAAGAGGAGAATGGAAAACATCTTCCAGGACCAGTAGAAGGCATCTGAGTCTTTGCACAACAACAGAGCAATGAATGAACTGCACCATAGGGTCCCTTCTTGACCTGAGTTTCTGTAGCTGTGGGAAGCACTGGGGAATATTTTCCTTCATGTTCTAAAAAGTGTATATGACAATGGGATAAAATGGGTTAGATTTGATCTAGGAAAGTATGTTGAGTGCAATTTGAGAAAATTAGTTAAACTGAAGTGTGATTAGCTTGATTGTTTTTATAAAGTAATTAAATCTGTAGCTTTAACCAGAAAGGTCTAGATTCTTTGAAGGAGAGTGAAACAAAGGGACGAGGACTTTCTAATCTGATCAGGTAATTCAAAGATAATTCAAAGGCTGCGCCTCTTACAAACAAGGTAAATCTAGATGAGCTATCTGCAGGGAGAAGTGTTATTACCCAGTTTGCTTCAAGATACTCAGAAAGTGGTAGCTCTACAAGCAGAGGCTCACTGGTGGCCTGGTCTAGCAGACACGCTTGTGGCCTCTCATCATCAAGGGCTGCCAGCTGATGCTTAGGTCTGCAGGAACACAAGGTCTAAACTTTATGGAGCATCTGCTGCTTTTCTTGTACCTGAAGACTTATTTATACTGAAAGTTTGTTTTTCCAGCATTCGGGAATTGTGACTGCGTGTCTTCAAGCCCCCATTGTAAAACCAATGAAAATGGAGTTTGCATTGTTTCAGGCAGAGTGAAAGTACCATCACTGACAAGGACATTCTCAACAGTTTCTTTGTGCTGCTGAAAACTACTGGTGGCTAAAACCTAAAATGAACTCCTAGAGCCTAATTCTTCTGTGCTTGCAGGTATTTCGTTGTGTAGCAAAGTTGAAGCACCTTATTGCATAGCTTGTGTCTATCTTTTGCTGTGTTAGTATATACTCATTTGGATATTTAAGTAATGAACAGACTGATTTCTTCTAGCGACTTGCTCCTTAAGGTAAATCAGTGTTATTTTAAATGATGCTTTGGAAATGGATTTCTCTAAAGTGCATGTGCTTCTAGCCAATGATGTGTAAGACAGAGCCCTTGCAAGGGGCTGTCCTCTCAAAAGCCCACAGACTTCACAAAGCGTGCAATTGCTTCAGGTCCTGCTCTGTGGAAATAAGATTTTCTTTCTGTCATTTATTTGCCCAGGACACTGCTTTAGGGTCTGGGTCTCTTGGGATTTGTGCACAAATGAAATTTTGCACGTAGATCCCTGTTTGTCTTTAGCTTTGTAAGCATAGCTGTTGAGATACTTGCTGATAGTCTGTCCTTTTAAAACAGACTATGGAATGAACTACAGCATCCGTGGAAAATTTTGAGCTGTGTGGAAGGTGATGATTGCTGAGCAGACAGAAGGTTCACAAGGCAGATTGAGAAGTTTCTCTGAAAATATTAGTCTTTGTTACCAAGCAAAACACTTATATGAGAGTGATAGCAGATGTGAGAAGGGATGGGAATGAAAATGAGCAAGTGTTACAGCTAAACGAAAACTTTAGTTTTCACTGTGTTGAAGTTTCTTGCGCTTCGAGAGGAGTATCTCTTAAACTGGAAGAAAAATCCTTCCATGTTGCTTTTCTCTTAAATTATGGTCTTCCCCTGTGGACTGGCAGTCTGGGACTGGATTTTTGGTTGTGTATTTGGTTTGCTGATAACTTCTCATTCGGTTCCCAGTTTGGCTATATGTTCAGTTACTGAGTTAAAATTAGTCAAAAGAGACTCTCTTCCCAGCAAGATCAGAAAAAGATCTTGTATAAGACAAGGTGAACTTTACTGTGTGGCCTGGTGTCGACACTGAAGTGTGTTCTGTCCTTTCTCATAGCCTGTTGTGTACTAGTGATTTCATTAAAACTTGCTGAAGGCAGGAAGTGTGTAAGGTTCTTGTGAAAATTTTTGGACTGATTTTTAAGTTCTGCAGGAGCTAATCTGGACGCTTAATCTCATTAAGTCTTTCTTCATTTGCCAAAGTTGGATTTATTTATTTACTTACTTATTACTAAAAGACCTTTTAAAATTATTATTTAGAAAAACCACATTATATATTGACATAGTCTTCTTTATTTAATTGTAAATGAAATATGAGTAACAACAGTGAGTATTTCAACAGGCTGAGTATTTCCACATTTATTATATATTTCAGCTGTTGGAAGTAGTTTAAAATCTGTACTCCTTTGGCAGTAATTGACAATGAAGATAAGTATGCAGAAACAAAAGCATAGTTGCTCTGAAGCCTGCATTATGCTGTATGTGGAGAGCCTGCTCGTTGAGGAGGGAACCCTTATTTACAAGGTGCAATTTGCAGATTTTTCTGTAGAGCAGCTAGTGGAATCTGCAGCAAGTGTAACCTTTGCTTTCGGCAGAGAAAACGGTGCTTGCAGTAAGCATATAACTGTGAAAGTTCTTCTCTTCAAATGTCAAGCCTTTTGCACTGGCCAAGTGGCAGGTAATGCCTTCACAATTGCAGGGACTGCTGTATAGAGACGGATTAGAACTCTTGACACCAGTCTCTTGCAGCACTGCCTCCGAGGTAGTGTGGTTTTACACTGCCCCTTACTGGGACTCTCTCATAGTGCAAGAACTAAAAATGTGGATGCCCAAAAGTTTGCTCTATTTTTTTTTTTTTCCCCTGAGCTCCGAGCCAAATAAAATACAGCGCTCTTCTTGAGTGTCAAAATGGGTTATTTATATTAAAATTTATTTTGCATTTGATTTTATTATTTCTTGATGTTCCGATATTGCATTATGTTGTTCAGGTTTCTTTGAAATCTCCTTGTGGAGTTCAGTGATAGTGGCTTTTGATACATCCAAACTGATGGAAGCCATGACAGCTTTGAGCGAACTAGTATTTGTCCTTCATTCTTCAACTAGTGACCAACAGGCATGACTTTGGAGCACACTGACACTACATTGCTGTTCATTCCAGATTAAAAGATCCAAAAGAACGAGGAATTGGAATCAGAGCGAATTTGGCCCATTATTCTGGGAAAATGGGATAGAGTTGAGTTTGCTAGATACACATAAACCAGCCTTGCCATTTGGCTTTATTTGCTAAGAATAGTCTTCTCTTTAGAGTTGAGGACATTTTGTTTAGCTAAATGGGTTGCCTGGATCCAATAATGATCAGAGGAAGACATATTGCAGTGAATTTTTCAGTTTAAAACTGACAGGTAACTGAGTTGACTCGTCGGTTCTGTTCCCATGGCATGTGGCACAAGTAGAGATCTTATTTAGGACTTTTTGTATCTTATAGTACTGACATGGAATTGAATTGGCAGAGTTTTCGTATATCACATGAATCTCCTTCTATCCTGTAGATCCTAATGAATTGCGATTTTTTTTGTGGAGAAGGAAGCTTTGAAGTGCTTTTAACTGATTGATGTAGTAAATTGTATTTTCAAAACTAAGCTTAAAAATAGAAAATGTCCTTGTAACTTATAGAACATTGAACTTACTTTGTATGTCAGCCTTCATTCGTTTATATCTTTTGTACTTTTTGGTGTAGGTCTTTTTGATCATATCTGAAGTGCAGTGTATATCCAGTGGGAATAAAAAAACCCCAAAATGCTAACTTGGCTAGATTCCCAGCTCCCCTTGTGATGCACATTTAAGCACCCCGCTGTAGAAACTAATTACTCAAGTTAAAAGATTTGTGAAAATGCTTAAATACTTCTTGACAACCTGGCTGTATACCCATACAGTACAATGTTTTAAAACTAGTGATTCTTACTGGGCTTAATTTTATGAAGGAAAATATCTGCTGGTGCATGGATAAAAGACAACAAAAGTCTCTTGTTAGAGACAGCTTCCCTTCACTTACCACACAGAACAGTCTTTCTGTGCAAAAACTGCAACCTTCTTTATGATAAAGTGAGGATGGTGATGGATGGAGTATTCCGGTGAGGAGGAATGACCTGTGCTGCTCTGGTGGTCTGTGGGCATGATAGGGGAAGTACAAAAATATCCAGGAGAAAAATGCATTTATTTTGAGATTGCTCAGGAGTTGAGAACTGGTACTGTAAGGAAGAAATACATCATTAAAGCATTAATGACGAGTGGTTTTTTTCCATAACTTGTTTACCCAATAGTCTGTTAGCACCTGTGGACTGCTTTATCAGGCTTTTTAGAGACCACATTCTAATAGGATGACTTGGTTTGCAAACACTGTTTTATTTGCTTGCACAGAGCAACTTTGAGTCACCGTGGCCTAATGGCCTACATAATTCATGAGCTAGTCTATAACTAATTGCTATGAAGAATTCTTGCAGGCTAAAGATTGTAGTCACAAGAATCAGTCTCTGCTAAGACACCTGCATTTGGGTGTTTTTAACTAAAGGTAAAAACCTGGACTAGGACTTTTTTTCAAGGACCTAAAACTATCCTTTTAAATGAGAACAATTATCAGAAAAGCTATTGACAGTTTGTGAGAGTTCTAGCACTAAATGGCAGCATTTGAAGTTCTGTAGTCCAAGGTGGTCCACTTCCAAAAAGATTTCCTGAATGACTCTCTCAGTCTTCCTGGGCCTACTGAAAGCTCAGTGTTGATGAATGCTATAAATGTGCTTCTGCAGGTACTCTCCAAGGCCAGCATTTTGAATAGTAGAACAGGGAGAAGAAACCTTGAGATAGTGATATTTATCAAATGAATTGTGCTCAGCAACCGTGTCTAAGAAACTCTGACTTCAAAAAAACCTATGAAGTCAGAGAAAGGTTAGCTAGCCCCTATTAACCTAAACTCTTTTATCCTGCCTAATGAGGGGAAGCAACCTCAGAAAGCTAATCTGGAACTGTCAGTACCACTGGGTTTTTTTAATTATTATTTTTTAATAAAAACAAGACTGAAAGAACCATGAGAAATAAATTAATGATAAACTGATTTTTTTTTTATTTTTTTTTGATCCCTTGCAGGTTTTCTCAAGTTCTAGAAGTAGCAGGCAGTTTGGTTGCTAACTGATCTGAAACTTGTGCTCTGCCTTGGAAAGATCTGCGGTGGGAAACATTCACCTTCACGTATCCCACACTTCTCTACATCAGCAGAAAGGGACTTCATGTGCAAGAGTGGTTCGAGATGATGGTGTAACGTTGATAACACTGAAGGTCTCCTGAGAATAACTGACTTAGTAAGAGGTTTCTACCTCCTCTTCCTTTTTTTTTAAATAACTTCCTCTCTCGGAAACTACAAGCAAGATGCCAGCCAAGACACCCATCTATTTGAAAGCTGCTAACAATAAGAAAGGGAAGAAATTCAAACTAAGAGATATCTTATCTCCTGATATGATCAGTCCGCCACTGGGAGATTTTCGTCACACCATACACATTGGAAAAGAGGGACAACATGACGTTTTTGGAGACATCTCGTTTTTGCAGGGCAACTATGAGCTATTGCCTGGAAATGAAGGAGAAACCAGGCTTAGCCAGTCTGGCCACAATGAGTTCTTACGGGCAAACAGCACTTCTGAATCCGTGTTTACAGAAACTCCATCACCAGTGCTCAAAAATGCTATTTCCCTTCCTGCCATTGGGGGTTCTCAAGCCCTTACGTTGCCCTTATTGTCACCAGTGACATTTAATTCAAAGCAAGATTCCATGAGGTCATCCAGAAATCCTAGGCTTAGCTGTGAGCCAGTAATAGAAGAAAAATTACAAGAGAAAAGTAAACAGATGGAGGATGGAGAAACATACAAAGATGACATATGGGAGCAAAATGGTTCTTCTTCACATTTTACTAACAGTAGAGACAGTAACTCATCCAGCTTTTCTGAACGATGCAGTGATTGGCAAACAGTTGATCTATTTGATGACAGTCAATTTTCATGTGAACTAACCAAGACAAAGACTAAGTCAGAAGAATCCCTTTCAGATCTTGCAGGCTCTCTTCTCTCGCTACAACTTGACTTGGGACCTTCACTTTTGGATGAGGTCCTCAATGTAATGGACAAGAACAAATCTTAGAACTGGTACTCCCTTGCTTCTTTTTTAAGTGATTCACTTAAAAACAAACAAACAAAAAATAGTTCATAAGTAGAGACACTTAAAAATCAGCTGTATTTGCAGTTGTTTGACGGGTTTTCTAAAAATATTCTTAAAATACTATTTTTTTACTTATCGTTTTCCATGATTTTTATTACACTAAATTCTCGCAGCAGGAAGGTAAATTTTAAATAACAAATTTCAGCAAATATAAAATGCTTTTCAGTACCAGTATTAATGATCAGAATCTTAAGAAGCAGTTTAAGGATGATACTGATTGTGCCATTTGGTTAGTTCACTTCTACGGGCTTCTGAAAATATGAAAATCTCTAAGTGTCAGAAAGGAGACTGATATTAATTATTCACTTTTATAAATTATTACAACATCACTTTACATGTAGGCCTCTTTCTAGAACCTTGTGTTTGAGGGTTTGATAGTGTTTTTTTCTTCATTTTTCTATAGTACCATTTCTGTTATACCTTAACTGTAACTACTTTCTTGGTCTTACACTACAGCTCTGTACTCAGATGTGAACAATTGGAAGGCTTTTTCAGCTTGAACACCTGGTCCAGAGACTCAGCTGCTTTAAATGAGTATGCACAGATTTACACAAGTTGAGGCTTGGGCCTGACATTGTATATGAAAGGATATGTTGTAAACAGGTGACACATGCAAGATATTGTGGTTAAATTATTTTAAAAGTTGCAATATATTTTTTGTGTGCATATTGGCTTTTTGCTGCAGAGCCTACACATACAATATCTCATCAAAATAGCTGCTTAGCATTATTGGTGCTCTTCTGAAAATTGTATATTTGTGTGTTTGAAAAGAAATATGTATTGATACTCTTTTTTTTTTTCTTCATTTATTGCCACACATGCTTAAACTTGCAACTGATTTTAATTTTTGAAGAAGGCACTGGTTATTCACAATGCTTGTGATGTGTGCTGCAACAGCCAATGTTTTGGGAAATGTGGATCCTTTAATACAGTACCTACCTAGATTGCATAGATATCTTGTGCAATACAATAAAAAACCCTTTAAATTGCTATGTCTTTGTGATTCAGTACATAAAACTTCCTAATTGGGTGAGTCTGTTTTCTGCTGTAATGAAACAGACTGCAGCAGAGTTACAGGAATATGGCACCAAGGGGCATATCAATTCTACTATCTTAATTCAGTTGACTTCTCCAATTTGATTTACTTACTGAGATTTTAAGGGCAAACTACAAGCGGGTAAGACTCTGGGATATGCACTGCTTTTAAGTAATTGGAGACAAGAGAGCAGTACATTGGTCCTAGTGAAGTCAATGGCAAAGTTCCAGCGGCTTTCAATGGAGTCTTTAGGTAAAATCCTAAACAAAGTTTGTAGACTGTTCTTCATTAGATAATCCTATTTGTCTGTATCCTTCTATGAGGACAGGTAAGTAACTTTATGTATATTATATTTATCCTTAAAATTTCTAGGAAGTCAGTGCCAACTAAGTCCATTCCTTTGGTGTGTTTTAGCAACACAGTCATTACTCCCATTTCTGGTTAAGCACTTAGATTATTGTGCATTAATGAGACATGCAGCTACAGTCTCCCATATTATTCCTGTAAATGAGGAACTGAGATGCAGAACGGCCAAGGACTGTGTGTATTTTTAAGATAATTCTTAATTGCCTTTGACTTCATATTCTTTGTGTATAAGCCTGGATCAAATTTCCAGTGCATTCATGATCCAAGAAGAATGGTGATTCTGTGACTGTAGTGCTTTTTATACTTTGGAAGGCGGGTTCAAGGCTCTGATCGGCCACGTGTTTCTTATGGGACCTGAGGCTTTAGAAACCATGGAGAATCTAGGCAAAACTGTCATTGGGAGAATGTCAATCATTAGCATAGGGAAAATCTGGATGGAACAGGGAATTAGACATTTTCTGTGCAGACTAGCTTCAAATACTATGATTAGAGCATGAAAATTATTTGCTGAATGAAAAGTCATTATCTTACAGGACTTTCCAAGTAAGTGTTTGATTCTTACAGCTGCTCTTTCAATTGTGTCAGTTTTGCCTTGTCATATTTTGTACTTGATTTCCTGGCTTAGTCTGCTGAAAAATGTTATTACAGGAGTTCTTGGTCTGTGTATGACTTCCTATACGACTGTTCTTCTAAGTTTGTAAATCCTTATGTCTTGTGATGAGGGTGGGAGGTCTGAATTAAAAAGTATCATCCGTACAGGCTACAAGAACTACTTTGTTGTTGAGAACCTCTGCTCAAGACAAGGATAGGACTTTTACATTGGCAAAGTAGTTTTTCTTTTAAGCCTTCTTATTTCCCTCAGAAACTGGGTCCCTGAATTGTTCTGATCTGCTCAGTCTTACATCTAAAGACCTAGAAGATGTGAAGTTGAAACATGCTTGGCTTCTGTTCCGTCATGGTCTTGTGCAAAATACTGTTTTGTGTAATCTGATCTGTCATCTCAGCTGTCACAATACAGCTTGTCAGATCAAAACCGTGGATATCTGGTTTGTGAGAAGTTCTGACTTCCTGAAGCCTTGATAAAAACTGTTAATGGAAATCAGATTTTCCAAGGGGGAGTTACACAACAGTTTCCTGAAAACGAAGATACTGCTGCAAGTTGGTCTTCTGGTTGGAACAAAGAACTGGCATGAGTCGCCTAGGATATCACGCCAGTTTTCTCTGGGAAAAGTATACCAACTGTACAACTGACTAGAAAGTTCCACTGATGCTTCACAAGTCTTCCGGTATGCCAGAAAATGCTCCCCCATCTCTTCTGCTAACTAAAAGAGTACGATGAAGACCTAAAGATGTAATTGTAAATGTGCCAGAGGAAGAATGCAGAAGCTGTAAAGCATATGCCTAGTTCCTACATGAAAATTTGCTAAGTTCCTCATCTGTACAGTTCCACAAGCTGTGCAATGTGCAGTGTGATACAAAAACATTATCAGAAAGCCACACAGCTCAAGAACCCTTGGAACCGCTGTACCAGTTCTCCTGCCAACCTGCGGTGATCAGTATTGTGCTAGGAATGTCACTGGGTGTTAAAGAGCAGGTGGAATGTTGGGAAGTGCACAAACTCATATTGACCTTTTGTCTTTTTTCTGACAGGTACTTTAGAGGAGACTGAAAACCAAAACAAATCTCCAAGCTAGATCACAACTAAAGGATGGAAAACAGCTTCGCAAGGAGGCTAGCAGAAACCCTGAGACAGGGATTTGATGCAAGCATACGCTTTGTCCAAACACATGGTTTCTTTTCAAAGTCCGTTACTGCAAGCAATTAATGACTTTCACAGGAACCTTGCTTTCCTCCCCACACTGACAAAACTGTTATGTTAATAAAAATTGCTCAACATTGACCCTTACTGGAATTCCCACTCTTGAAACTTCAATGTACTTTAATGTTCACCTACAAAGTGCATACAGGACAGAACCATGTGGCTTTCCTGGCAAATGTTGTCTAACTGTGTGGTATGTGAATGTGACAGAAAAGGAGAAAAATCTAAAAAATAGAAATCTAAAACTAGCACAAGCAAGGCCTTGTTTAAGGATGATTTTACCTTATTATCCTTTTTCCTTTTTGCATTTATTGGTGTTAACAAGGAAGCTAGTTATCAGGGTTAGGGGTGAAGGATGTTTTCTAATTTGTATAGGAAATTCTTACCAAGCAACAGGAATAGGCTGAGGCCACGTTTCAGAAAAACATAGAAGGTATATCAGCCCAAATGTTTTTTTTCAGTCCTGCTAGAATTAATGAGAGAAGGGACACTTTGAGTGGCTGCTGTGTTGAGAATGTCAGTTGTGATCAGAATTAGAGGCAGTGGTCACATATGTCAAATATAAATAACCCAGATGCAAGTCTAGCAGGGAAGGTGTTGGACCCAGCATAGTGAGGCCAAGTAACATTTGGTGATGCAAAAAAAAGCTAAGACAGTGACATACTGTACTTAATTGCAAGGAAATAAATTAATGGTTGTTGTAAGCAAATGCATTAAATTAGGAGTGACCTAACTGTTCTCCTTGCATCCGTTTGCTTTTCGTGTGAGCACAAAATACATGAGTACATCTGTTTTCTGTAAATGCTGTCATTTCATGTGGGTTTTTTAAGGTGTTTCCTGACTCCAGATATAAGGCTGGATCCATCTCTAACTGCTTCTCTCCAGTCAGCATTTTACAAGTGCTAGAAAATCAAGAAAGTACCTAATACTTGCTGTTTACTTTTGAATGTTATAAGCTGTCTTCTCCCTATAATAATTATAAAAGTACTAATTTTCTTCTGGTAGAAATTAACATGACTCCACTAAAATAATGGATTCTGATTTATACCAGAATATTCCCAGAGAGAAATAAATTTATCAGAATATTTACACCAGAGAGAATACTCTTTTTCACAGGCATATTGCAGGTATGACCCAACACATTCTTCAAGATATTTCTTTTCCTCGCTGTCTAAAAAAATTTGTTCTTAGCTCGTGCTCAGAGATACTAGGACTTCGTTTTGTGGATGGGTGACTTTGAGAACCCCAACTCCTCTGGCAGATTTTTGACAGTAATACTTTTGACCTGAGAGAAGAAGTTTAATTTAACCTTCAGTAAGTCATAAACAGTCACAGATGCCACCTATGCTATTAGATTTCGGTTCAGTACAAATGAGGAAGCCTTGGGCCATTCCCTTTTTTACTACACAGGATGGAACAGTGTGGCAAAGAAAAGTCAAACTAATTTGCTCATTTATCAAACTGCTAGTGCTATTCCAGGTACCTAACTGCCTTATTAAAAAATGCCACAGTTTTACAAGACAAGAAGAAAGTGCACCAAAACTAATATTTAAGAAACCCATGCTCACTGCCACTATGTTTAGGCAACCAGAAGGAAAATACATCTTAGCTGAAAACATTTGTGACAGGCTCCTTGGACACCTCTCTAAAGGCAATATCAGAATCAAAAGAAAAGATTTTGAATGCTTGGAGTTCCAAACATTGCCATCTACTTCATGATGTAATAATTGGATGGCTTATTTGTAGTCTAATATTTTCTCTATAGGAAGCAGAGTTGCAGCCATTACTTTCTGTTTCTGAATTATGTTGTAGGATGTGAGCCTTGTCCTTCAGGGCTTATGCCTATTCCTTTTTGACAAAACATGCTGCTGCAGTACAGAAAATTTCCTGGG